AGACTCGCTTGAGCCCAGGAGTTGGAGGTTGCTGTGAGCAGTGAAGCCATGGCACTCTACCCAGGGTGACAGCTTGAGGCTCTGTCTCAAAAAAAAATTTTTTTTTTCAACATAAGTACAATTTACAAATATAATACATTAAAAAAAAAAATTATGTATAGGGCAGCGCCTGTGGCTCAAAGGAGTAGGGCGCCAGTCCACCTGGGCGACCTTGCCCAGGAGGGGAGTAGGGAGTTTACATTAGCCTTTTCATTCCCAAATGGAGTTATATTTCCTTCCTGTTGTCCCGCCCTTCCCTTGATTGTAGTGCATTCTTTTCAAAAATTGGGACTCTTTTAAAACGCCGCAGGGCGCTGGACAAATTGTTCAAAATCAGGGCTGTCCCGCCAAAAGACGTCTGGTCACCTTATATTAGTCTGGGCCTCAGGGTGGGATGACTGGGCGGCAATTGGTTTTCTGCCTGCTTTGCTGTGCCACAATGTTTGGGACCCAGCGGTGGCCACGCCAGACTGGTCACTAAACAGAGCAGCCCAAAGTAGTGATGGCGGAAGCCTAGGGCGGAGAGATTAAGGCTGTGCTGGGAAAGCTAAAGCTGAGTGATTAGCGGCTGGGATAACCAGGTCATAATGGAAACCGAGCCGGTTCCCCATCCAGCCTTAGAGGGCCAAGAAGGGCTTCCTGGAGGAGGTGATAGACCCGTGAAAGAACAAGCTCTAGGCCTGGCCTCTGGGGTTCCCAGTACAAATAAGGAGACAAGTACTTCTCCAGGCAGCCCATACAGTGGCATCACGACTGTGATGGGAAAGCTCCGGCAGAGATCAGACTACAGAAGAGGAAAGCCAGCCCGTTGTGGGGTCGGGATGGGGAAGGACGCCCAGTGGAGACAGCTGACCCAGCTGGAGTATCCGGTGGGCTTCCTAGAAGAGGAGATTTACGAGCTGACTCGAAAGGACGTTGAGTGGAGCAGGCATAGGAGTAGAGAACAACCAGCAGGATGACTAAAATACATACATTATTATTGGAAACACTCTAGCAGTGCTATGAGGGAAATAAGTTAGGGGGTGAGATGGAAAATAAGAGATGATTTGATGAGTGGTGGAGGAAGGGCTCTGTGAGGGGTGGCTTTAATAAGGACCACTAAAGAGTGCATATGGGCCAAGGGACAGCAAATACAAAGAAATGTCTTGAGATAATGTATTCTGGTCCGGAGTCACTCCCACTATTTAGCCTCTCTCTTGGCATAATAATATAAATAATACATGAAGCAGCTTAACCAAGTTATCAGAATGGTATTTACCTTAAGCAATTAAAGTTTTATGCCAGTCATCATCTCTAATCTTGCAATGAAGTCCTGGGACTCAAGGTCCAAAGTATAAAAGTGTACACAGTAGGCCGGGCACAGTGGCTCATGCCTGTAATCCTAGGTCTATGGGAGGCCAAGGTGGGAGAAACATTTGTGGTCAGGAGTTCAAGACCAGTCTGAACAAGAATGAGACCTCTGTCTCTATTAAAAATAGAAAAAAAAAAAAAAAAGCCAGCTACTGAAGCAGTGGGATCAGGAGTTTGAGCTGGCAGTGAGCTATGATGATGCCACTGTACTCTGCCCAGGGCAACTGAACAACACTGTGTTAAAAAAAAAAAAATGGGAGGGTGGCACCTGTGGCTCAAAGGAGTAGGGCACTGGCCCCATATGCCAGAGGTGGTGGGTTCAAACCCAGCCCTGGCCAAAAAACTGCAACAACAACAACAAAAATGGGAGCAATATTGAAAGGAGTTAAAAGAAGAAAAAAAAATCTGAACGTGAGGCAAAGGTCTTATCCCGCACCTGAATTCCCCACTGCCACCCAGTCCCACTAAAGCTTGAGCTTGAAGACGGAGAGGAATGTGGTGAGCATTTGAGGCTGAGGAAAAAGATAGTCTTCTTCATTCACTTACTCATTCATTCACACATCCATCCATTCACAGTACATTCATTGAGCACCTGCTATAAGCCAGGTACTGTGGTAGATGCTGGAGAAGATACAACAGTGAACAAAGCAAACTTTCTGTTATGTTGGAGCTCACTTTATAATGTTGGGGAAAGTGGTAGAAATAGTGTATTTGACATCTGGAGTGAATGCCCTCTGTTATATACCCGTTCCTCTTTATCAGAAAATTATTTTCAATAATAACCATGTAAGCATTATTATTTTGTTCTTTAGTTTTAAAACAATTTCAATTTTAAAGATAATACCTGTACTAGCTGGGTGCAATGCCATGCACCTGCAGTCCCAGGTACTAGGGAGGGTGAAGTAGGAGGATCACTTGAGGCCAGGAGTTAGAGGCTATAGTGCACTAGGATCATGCCTTTAAGTAGCTACCACATGCCAGCCTGGACAGCATAGTAAGACCCCTTTTCTAAATAGATAAATAAATTTTTTAAAAAGGTACTACTCAAATTCAGTAAAATATTTCATATATTAACAAAAATTTGCACTTACCAAATAAAAATATTATACCTCCTATAGTCCACACTGTTTTGCTGCTTTAATTTTTTTTTTTTTTTTTTTTGGTAGAGACAGTCTCAGTTTATCGCCCTCAGTGGAGTACTGTGGCATCACAGAGCTCACAGCAACCTCCAACTTCTGGGCTTAGATGATTCTCTTGCCTCAGCCTCCCAAGTAGCTGGGACTACAGGTGCCTGCCACAACACCTGGCTTTTTTTTTTTGGTTGCAGTTTGACCAGGGCCGGGTTTGAACCCACCACCCTCGGCATATGGGGCTGCACCCTACCCACTGAGCCACAGGCGCCGCCCTTCTGCTTTAATTTTTAAACTCAAAAATTCCAAAGGGATACATAGAATGAATGGTTTCTTCATCTTAGTGATCATTATGCCATTTTTTAATTTTTAACCCATTATTTAAATGAAAGATTATGTGGAATTACAAAGATTGGAGACTCAAACTGTACCTAATGCAAGCCCAAAAGGTTCCAAATGTTATGAACTTACTTTCAAGAGGAACACATATAGCAGCTGAGTCATCATGTGTCCAGCATCATTTGTATATCTGGGAGTTCTCTCTGTTAACTTCACTGTAGAACATTGTCGCAAATAGATGTTAGGGCAGCCTCCATGTTCACACCTTATACAATCCCTTTCCTTTCATGTGAGTGAGCAGGACCTAGGACTGGCTTTTTTTTTTTTTTTTTTTTTTTGAGACAGAATCTCACCATATGCTCTTGGTAGCGTGCCATGGCATCACAGTTCACAGCAATTTCAAACTCTTGGGCTCAAGCAGTTCTCTTGCCTCAGCCTCCCAAGTAGCTGGGACTACAGGTGCCTGCCACAATGCCCAGCTATTTTTTGTTGTTGTTGTTGTAGTTGTCATTGTTTAGCAGGCCTGGGTTGGGTTCAAACTTGCCAGCCCTGGTGTATGTGGCTGGTGCCTTAACCATTGAACTATGGGTGCCAAGCCCTGGGACTGGCTTTTAACCAACACAATGTGGCAAAAGAGATGGGATGTCACTTGCACAATTACCTTACCTTATATGACTCCTTTTTACAATATGAAGAAAGAGAGTCTAAGTTGCTGGTTTTAAGGAAGTAAGTCCTTGTAGGAGAACTTATGGAAAAAGCCATGTGGCAAGAAACTGTAGGTGGCCTCTAGGAGCTGAGGTCACACTTGGCTGATAACCAGCAAGAAATGAAAACCGTATCTTGGCTGGCACAGTGACTCGTGCCTGTAATCCTAGCACTCTGGGAGGCCAAGTGGGTGGATAGCTTGAGCTCATGAGTTTAAGACTAGCCTGAGTGAAATCAAGACCCCCATCTCTACTAAAAATATAAAAACTGAGGCAAGAGGATCACTTGAGCCCAAGAGTTGAAGGTTGCTGTGAGCTATGATGCCATAGGACTCTACCCAAGGTGACAGCTGGAGACTCTGTCTCAAAAAAAAAAAAAGAAAAGAAAAGAAAAGGAAAGAAAACATTATCCCCAGGACTGCAAGCAATTGGAAGCAAATCTTTCCCCAGTCAGTCCTCTGATGAGACTGCAGCCCTAGGCAACACTTGGATTGCAGCCTGATGGCATTCTGGAGCTGAGGGCCCAGGTAAGTCACTACTGGACTGGATCAGGAGCTATGGGATAATAAATCTGTGCTGTTTTAAGCCAAGTTTCTGCTATTTTTGTGTGTGTGTGTGTGTGTGTGTGTGTATGTGTGTGTGTGATAAAGACTCTCACTCAGTTGCCTTGGATAGAGTACCCTGGCATTATAGCTCATAGCAACCTCAAACTCCTGGGCTCAAGTGATCCTCTTGCCTCAGTCTTCTGAATAGCTGGGACAATAGGTGCCCATCATGATACCCATTAATTTTTCTATTTTTTTTTTTTTTGAGACAGTGTCTCACTTTTTCACCCTCAGTAGAATGTCATGGCATCATAATTCACAGGAACCCCAAACTCTTGGACTCAAGTGATTCTCTTATCTCAGCCTCCAGAGTAGCTGGGACTACAAGTGCCCACCACAATGCTGAGCTATTTTTTACAGATGGGGTCTCACTCTGGCTCAGGCTGGTCTCAAACCTGTGAGCTCAGGCAATCCACCCACCTCGGTCTCCCAGAGTGCTTGGATTACAAGCGTGAATCACTGTGTCCAGTCCAATTTTTTTATTTTTGGTTCAAACAGTGTCTCCTCGCTCAGGCTAGCCTCAAATTCCTGAACTCAAGTGATCCTCCCTCCTGAGTGTCCCAGAGTGCTAGGATTACAGGAATGAGTCCCTGCATCTGGCCTGTATATTGTTTTAGTTTTTGTTTTTTGAGACAGTCTTATTATGTTGCCCTTGGTAGAGTGCCGTGGCATTGCAGCTCACTCCAACTTCAAACTCCTGGGCTTAGGCAATTCTCTTGCCTCAGCCTCCCAAGTAACTGGGACTACAGGTGCCCTCCACAATGCCTGGCTAATTTTTTGTTTCAGTTGTCATTGTTGTTCAGTTGGCCCAGGCCAGGTTCGAACCTGCCAACCTCGGTGTCTGTGGCTGGTGCCATAACCACTCTGCTACAGGTACCGAATCTGTGTATTGTTTTTGAAGAAATGTCTCTTCAGGTCTCTTGTCCTTTTTTTTTTTTTTTAAGAGACAGAGTCTCACCTTATTGCCCTTGGTAGAGTGCTGTGGCATCACAGCACACAG